AGATTAGCGATCTTTCATAATAATCTCCCTACCTCGTGGAGTGACTCCAATCGTCGTGGACTGAAGCCAATCGTCGTGGGGTTGAACCCAATCGTCGTGGGGGTGAACCCAATCATCGTGGAGTGAACCCAATCGTCGTGGAGTGAACCCAATCATCGTGGGGGTGAACACAATCGTCGTGGGGGTGAACCCAATCGTCGTGAAGTGAACCCAATCGTCGTGGAGGTGAACCCAATCGTCGTGGAGTGAACCCAACCGTCGTGAAGTGAACCCAATCGTCGTGGAGGTGAACCCAATCATCGTGGAGTGAACCCAATCGTCGTGGAGTGAACCCAATCATCGTGGAGTGACCCAATCATCGTGGAGTGACCCCAATCGTCGTGAAGTGGACCCAGGTGCCACCAAGCCGCTGAGGACGCCGGCCCCTGATGGCAGCACCAGTGCACCAAGCCACCAGTATTGTCTCCTCCACGCTACCTGAGAGTATCACGCCTCCAAATCCTAATATATTAAATCATAGGCTGCTTTACCTTCGGGTCTCACATCATAACACACTCCATTTTTGGGTGACATACTTGTCATGAAGTGTGAGTGCCTCGAGCCAGGCAGGGTGGAGTGCCAGGGGTCGCGTGCTGAGTGCACTTGGCTACTGACCTCCTTGAGTCAAAACTTGTGCATGTCCTGTGTATGTATTCAATTTGCAACGTGTCAATTAAAGGTGTATATTTTGCTCCGGGTGTAAGGTAGGTATGTATACTCCTGGTGAAGGGCAGGTATGTATGGTCCTGGTGAAAGGCAGGTATGTATACTCCTGGTGAAGGGCAGGTATGTATGGTCCTGGTGAAAGACAGGTATGTATACTCCTGGTGAAAGACAGGTATGTATACTCCTGGTGAAGGCAGGTATGTATGGTCCTGGTGAAGGGCAGGTATGTATACTCCTGGTGAAAGGCAGGTATGTATGGTCCTGGTGAAAGGCAGGTATGTATACTCCTGGTGAAAGACAGATATGTATGCTCCTGGTGACAGGCAGGTATGTATGGTCCTGGTGAAGGGCAGGTATGTATACTCCGGGTGTAAGGCAGGTATGTATGGTCCTGGTGAAGGGCAGGTATGTATACTCCGGGTGTAAGGCAGGTATGTATGGTCCTGGTGAAAGGCAGGTATGTATACTCCTGGTGTAAGGCAGGTGTGTATAGTCCTGATGTAACAGGTGTATGGCAGGTGTATGTAACAGGTGTATGGCAGGTGTGTATGGAGGTGAACCTACAAGTGTGCTGCTAGACTGAGAGCCAAGTGTGCTCCTTATAAACACATTGTTTTGCAATTGTTTATTAAATAAACATTAATTAACATCTTTTATTAAACAGCTTCGTTTGCTCTAAGATCGTCTGCATCTGTTAATTAACATTATTCATTTATTGATGGCTTTTATTTGCACTTGATTCTCTCATATGTCCGCTTTAGTATGTTTGAGCAGCTTAAACCACTTGGACTGGTGGGGAACAGTGGCGGCCTCGGATCATGAAGACCCGCGTTCGATCCCCAGTGGTCCACGTGATTGTTCGACCCTTCCTTCCCCCTCATCTTATCCCAGAGTCTCGTCCTCATCTCCAATCTATCTGTTGTTACGGTGTTGGTGGGCCTTACCAAAGAGTAACGTTAATTCTACGTTGAATAAGCGTTACTGTGCCTACTGTGAGGTCGCGAGTACTGTGTCTGGGTGTGTTGGGGCCGCGTACTGTGCATGCAAAGGTTCGCGTGTGACCTGGGGCCACACAGGGGGGGGGCAGAACACACGGGGGGCCCCCGTGTGACCTGGGGGAGGCGGAGTAGCGCTGTCAGTGCGTGAGCGACAGTGCTTAAGATTAGTGCTTGTTTGAGTAGCCTGCCACCACGCACACTTACATTTCAGAGCTCGCTACCCCCCCCCCCCACGCTACATCACGCTATGCCTGCTTCCACACTACACACTTCCTCACTCTATGTCTGCCCAATACCTCACTCTATCTCTGCCCTCACACTGGCTGTCGCCACACTCTGCTTACATCTGTAAAAACAGGAGGTAACGCCCATATTGGATATCGAAACTTCTCAGTTTTGAAACAGTGAATTTCCCCTTAAAATTCCCCCTTTTTTTTCTTAAAGCTTTTTAACAAAATAGTGTTATACTCTTTTATGAGTTCGCAAAAAAGTATCGTGTCATTTTTCTGTTTAGAATGAGATTAAGGTTGGCAATTTTTTTTTTAATATTGCATTCTTGTTGTTTTAAATGTTGTTTGTGATATTGTCTGTGTCGGTCTGTCGAGACATTTGTCTTATTTTAAAGTTTTCTTTCACTTCTTCACTTGCACTCCAACTTCAGTTCTTTTGTATTTCCCTATGTTCTCACTCCCTACACATTCTCTCTTCGCATTATTATAACCCCTCACTATCTCTCATTCATTATCGCACCCTCTCACTATCTCTCACTCTCACTGCCCATTATTATCACCCTCACTATCAATAACTCTCACTATCTCTCACTCTCACTGCCCATTATTATCACCCTCACTATCAATAACTCTCACTATCTCTCACTCTCACTGCCCATTATTATCACCCTCACTATCAATAACTCTCACTATCTCTCACTCTCACTGCCCATTATTATCACCCGCACTATCAATAACTCTCACTATCTCTCACTCTCACTGCCCATTATTATCACCCTCACTATCAATAACTCTCACTATCTCTCACTGCCCATTATTATCATCCTCACTATCAATAACTCTCACTATCTCTCACTCTCACTGCCCATTATTATCACCCTCACTATCAATAACTCTCACTATCTCTCACTCTCACTGCCCATTATTATCACCCTCACTATCAATAACTCTCACTATCTCTCACTCAATAACTCTCACTGCCCATTATTATCACCCTCACTATCAATACTCTCACTATCTCTCACTCTCACTGCCCATTATTATCATCCTCACTATCAATAACTCTCACTATCTCTCACTCTCACTGCCCATTATTATCACCCTCACTATCAATAACTCTCACTATCTCTCACTCTCACTGCCCATTATTATCACCCTCACTATCAATAACTCTCACTATCT